TCTTTGGCTTAGGAGAGTGTCAAAAGCACTTGCAGGACAAAAGAAATCGGGCAGAATCACTGAAACGTTCTCTTGATGGAGAAGATTAGAATTATCAGATGTCAACATGAGTTATTTCCTTCTTAAGCTGGCCTGTCAGGATACAAGTCTGTGTCATTTTTGGTCACATAGTTACAGTCAGTTCATCTCTTTCCTTGGGTCCCCACCTATGGCTATCAGAAACAAAGATGCGAGGAACAGGGCAAAAGAGGAAATTGCTGGGACTGAAGTGAAAGAGAGTGAAAAGCTAATTCTGAGAACATGTCCAAGATGGAAAACTCCAGCTATTTGGACATCAATTCTCTAGATTCTCAGCAGTGGCCATGATAGGTGGGGAATTCATGGGGGGGGGGAATACCAAACCTTTAACAAGGGATCAATCAAAGGGATGGACCAACAGAGAGACATTGGGTCAAGTACAGAAAGCATTAAGAAATCAGCAACTTCTCTGTATCTTTCTTTCTTTCTTTCTTTCTTTCTTTCTTTCTTTCTTTCTTTCTTTTTCTTTCTTTCTTTCTTTCTTTCTTTCTTTCTTTCTTTCTTTCTTTCTTTCTCCCACCTTTAGTATTTTTCACATAATTTAAGGCTGTGACCAGACATAATACTCCTTCCTTCCTCCTATTTTCCTCACAACAACAACCCTGTGAGGTGAGTAGGTTTGAAAAAGAGGGACTGGCCCAAAGTCATCCAGTTGGCTTTCATGCCTAAAGAGGGACTAGAACTCACAGTCTCCTGGTGATTGGCAAAAGATACCCAGCTGGCTTTCATGCTTAAGGCAGGGCTAGAATTCACAATGTCCTGGTGATCGACCCAAAGTCACCCATACTTTCATGCCTAAAGAGGGACTAGAACTCACAGTCTCCTGGTGATTGGTCCTAAGTGACCCAGCTGGCTTTCATGCCTAAGGCGGGACTACAACTCACAATCTCCTGGCTTCTACCCTGGTGTCTTAACCACTAGAACAATCTGGCATTCCTTACAGCGGGTCAATAATTGAAATTGACCAGAATGCCCTGGATTTCTGTCCCTTCCTCAATCTGCAAATTTACGGGGCAAGCAGGGGTCAAATGGAGTATTCAGGGCCAGCACTTAACCCCTTCCAGCAGAAATCATCCTTCAGTAAGCTCTAAAAATGGCACAAGGCTTGTGTTTTCCTTGGCACAAAGCTGTTTTGCAAAAAACATGTTGCTGCTGTCGTGGTGGCAGTGATGGATTGGTTTTCCAAAGTTCCTGCTTCTCTTCCATCTGCTCTCCTTCTCGGTTGCCACCACCTCCATGGTGTTGCTGTAGAGCACGTCCTTGGTATAACCTTGGATTTATTTGGCAGGACACGTAGAAGTGGTTGCCTTCTGTGTTCCACAAACACACCCACAAAGTTCCATGTGCAGCAGCAGCAGCTTTTGGATTAAGAGCACAAAGCTCAACCCTGATAGAGTTATGCACCCTTTTCTTATACCAGCATTTTCTCCTTTATTTGCCCTTGCTGTACCACATCAACACAAAAACAGGGGATCACAGAAAACAGTCAATTGTGATGACTTACTAGGCAGATGCATGTTGCTCCATAACTCATTTTTCCGGGTGATTTGAAGTTTTGATTCAGAAAATCAATGCAGGTGATTATGAGCACAATTAAGCCCAAAATGTCTGTTGTTAAGTGAGACATTTGTTAAGTACGTTTTTGCTCCATTTATGACCTTTCTTGCTTCAGTTGTTAAGTGAATCACTGCAGTTGTTAAGTTAGTAACACGGTTGTTAAGTGAATCTGGCTTCCCCATTGACTTTGCTTGTCAGAAAATCGCAAAAGGGGATTACATGACCCAGGGACACAGCAACAGTCATAAATATGAACCAGTTGCCAAGCAGCTGAATTTTGATCACATGATCATGGGGATGCTGTAAAGGTCATAACTGTGAAAAACGATCATGTCATTTTTTACAGTGCCCTTGTAACTTTAAACAGTCACTAAATGAACTGTAAGTCGAGGACTTACAACCATCTTTTCCTGCTTCCTTTGCCCTTGCTGTACCACAACAATACAAAAAAATGGTGTTACAGAAAATAGTCAGTTGTGGTGACTTACTAGGCAGATGGCCTGTTGTCCCATATCTGGATTTTCCAGGTGATTTTAAGTTTTGGTTCAGAAAATCAATTTACGACCACAATTGACCCCAAAATTTCTGTTGTTAAGTGAGATATTTCCCATTGTCACTTTGAACGATCACTAAATGAATTCTTGTAAATCGAGGATTACCTTTATGTTTGGGACTGATTTGAGAAAAGTGCTCTCGTGCAGTCAATAAGCCTAAGGAATCAAAGCAAAGCTTTTTTAAAATAATTTGGAAACCTGGTTGTAAAATCGGCAGCTTGGTCAAATCACTTTGGAATTAAATATTTGAACGAATGACTTGCTTAGGCCCACCAGTACTTTTATGGAAGGATAATTTTCTCAGCTTTCCCCTTGATCAAAATTGAACTACAGGACTCCTCCTCTAGGCTGTTCTGTCTTAGTTACCATCAGGGCTGTGAAGAGTTGGGCTGTAGCTCACAATGAATAAAGACACCAGCTTTAGTGACCAATGACAGCTTCCAGTTGCTATAATAGTCAGCCATATTTGGGGGAGGTTCCTTGGAATACGGAAATGAGGGTGTCTCCAACTTTAGTGACCAATGACAGCTTCCAGTTGCTATAATTGTCAGCCATATTTGGGGGAGGTTCCTTGGAATAAGGACATTAGGGTGTCTCCAGCTTTGGTGACCAATGACAGCTTCCAGTTGGTATAATTGTCAGCCATATTTGAGAGAGGTTCCTTGTAATAATGACATTCGGATGTCTCATGCCCTCTCAGGTCACCTGGAAGCATGTCATGGTCATCACTGCTTTATATACCTGGCCCAACAGATTGTTGACTAACCTAGTCCTTTGGTTGTTCATCCAATCCCTCTGTTGATCCTGGGACATCCATTCATTTCGATGGAAAGGAAAGCAAAACCTCTCCTCTCAATTTGAAATGAGCTTTCTGGATGAATCAACATAGCGTTGATGGCCCCACCAAAGACAATAGGTCAGCTGTAACCCCGAATCATTGCCTAGGGCTTATTCTAGTAGAGAATAAGGATGACTAGAATAGAATAGAGATGGAAGGAACCTTGGAGATCTTCCAGTCCAGCCCCCTGCTCTAGCAGGAGATCCTATACCATTTCAGACAAGTGGCTGTCCAGTCTCTTCTTAAAAACCTCCAGTGATGAAGCGCCCACAGCTTCTGAAGGCAAGCTTGTCCTACTGGTTAATTATTCCCACTGTTAGGAAATTTCTCCTTAATTCCAGGTTGCTTCTCTCCTTGATTTGTATCCATCCATATACTTCTTGTCCTGTCCTCTGGTGCTTTGGAGAATAAGTTGACCCCCTCGTCTTTGTCTTGCCTTTAAGTCAAGGTTTGGGTGAGGTAAAGCTGTAAAATGGATGGGAAAGGTAACTTCTCGCCCTTCTCCACTACACACACACACAGACACACACACAGAGACACACACACACACAAACTTACTTCTGTAGAGAGTCTGTCATTTGTCAGGTCTAAGCTGTCGGAGTGATTGATACGCAGAGTTCAGTATACGCCGACTTTCTCCGTCAGCCAAGACATTCCAGCAGGCCTGGTCCAGCCTGCCTGTCGCCAGCAGTCAACAAGCAACATGGTTTGATTGAAATCAGGGAAGTCTCCTCATCCTCCCTGTCCTCCCCTTTTATCATCTTACAATAACATCATCTCGATCATTTATTTTTACAACCAAGCCGGGCTGCGTGTCACCCAGCCCTTGCAAACGGCATAAAAGGGGGGAAGGGGTGTTGCTATGTTAAATTTTAGTAAGACACCCCTCCGTGTCCTGCAGAGAAGTCAACGGCCATTAGTTTCTGCCATTGTGTAGCAGACAAGATAATGATTAGGGAGTTTAGAAGAAAAAAAGAAGAGAAATTAACCAAGGAGTGGTGGGGGAGGCTTGAAAAGAATAAGTTGATGTGCTGAAATCAAAAAGGAGGGAAAAAATAGGCCACTCTACCTCTTAAAAAGTGAAGTTGAAAGTAACAGAATAAGAGTGAACGTTTATTTATTTGAGGGGTGTTTGCTGCTGTCTGAGCTTGGTGGTCATCTTGCAGACATTTCATAACCAAACTAGGTAACATCATCAGTGTCTGGGTAATGAAACCTCTGCAAGAAAAAAAAGCAAGCTCAGAGAGCAGCAAAGGCCCCTAATTTCAATAAACACTCTCCTTTATTGGTATTTATTTATTTTTATTATACAAATTTAAATGGCTGCTCAACTCACACAACATGTCCCTCTGCGTGGCTTCCAACATTAAAAAGCCACAACGTAACAATCCTTCTATCTTTTGTGCTCTGATCTTAAACTCTTGAGGCAGATGCCATTTGTCCAATCATTGAGGAAGAATATATACGATAGGTGAAGCTTGGTTTATTTTGAGAGCTTTGCGGTTGTTTAGAAGAAGCTTGTCTTCTCCTGCCACTGGCTATCCGTGAAAACACCGTAGGCATTTATAATTCTGTGGAACCTGGATAATTGCTTGTTTAAAATCCTGATTATTCTGAAAACATACAGCAAGGTAAAAATTATTTCTAGAAATCGATCCAAATTGGAAAAGATTTTTTTTATCAGTGAAACCATTGCAAAGGTTGGTGAGTTTCTTTGGAGAGACTTCCCAGAATTTTGTAAGTCAAAGGTTTATAGATACTTCAACGTATGAACGATAATTGAATTGGAAATACAGTCATAAATTCTGCCAGTTGTTAAGTGGTTCATCACGGGAGCGATTGTTAAGCCATGGTGGCAGTCATTAAGTACAGCTATTATTTTATGCCAGAAACTGGAAGTAACCCCCAGGTCAGGTTGTAAATTGTGGTCATGTGAGGCCAGGACATTGCAAACGGTCATAAATGAGGGTCAGTTGCTGATGTGTCCATAATGTGACTCCATGACCAGAGGGATGGGCTGACCCTTGTAACTTTAAATGGTTGCTAAGCGACCGATTGTAAGTCAAGGACTACCTGTATGCTAACTGCAGATTTCTGGGAACTGTACTGTAGTTGTGATTTCTGGAGGATACAAACTGGGACAGGGTTAGCAAAAATAGCAATTGATCTGACAATATGTAGGAAAGAGAAATGGTAAAAGGTACAATGCAAAGATGTACACCTTAACTCAGTGGTTCTCAACCTGTGGGTCGGGACCCCATTTGGGGTCGATCGACCATTTCATGGGGGTCGCCAAGCAAGGCTGTCTGCCATTTTTTTTGTCCGCCATTTTTTTTGTCCGTCATTTTTTCCCCCCTTTTCCGGCGGGTGCCTTACCTCCCTTGGGCTGGGCCAGCTGGTGGTCGGCCTGCTCCGTCTCTGCCGCTTGCCAGCTACGCCTCGGCCGGCGCAGGGGGCGGAACCACGCATGCGTGGCGCTCCTGGGCAGGGAAAGTCCTCGACTTATGACCGGTTAGGTAGTCCTCAACTTACGACCGGTTTAGTCCTCGACTTACGACCGGCTTAGTCCTCGACTTACGACCGGTTTAGTCCTCGACTTACGACCGGTTGGGGTCGCGGCATTAAAAAGGTTGAGAACCACTGCTTAACTCAAGGGCCATTCCAGAGTTTGCACAGGTGAGTGAGAACATAGCAATTTTCAGAGGTTAGCTTCAGGATTTTTAATTAACTTCTTTAAACATCTGGAAGGCTTGAAGTGCACCTTTGCACTTTAAATCTCTCCCCCCCCCTCCAAAAAAAAAGAGCACATGTTTGGAGCTTTTTTGTTCTAGGGCCTCAGAAAAATCACAAAAGGGGTTTTGGCAGGTCACATATGACCTATACAGAAAAGCTTCTTTTGATAGCTGAATACCTCAAGTTGGAATGTTTTATCTCTTTTCTGCTTGCCATTCTTGGGTAGCACATAGAACATAGAATATCAGAGTTAGAAGAGACCTTGAAGGTCTAGTCCTCTGATCAAGCAGGAGCCCCTGTGCCATTTCAGACAAATGGCTACCCAATCTCTTCTTAAAAACCTCCAGTGTTGGAACACCCACAACGTCTGGGGGCAAGCTGTTCCACTGGTTGATTGTTCTCACTGTCAGGAAATTTCTCCTTAGTTCTAGGTTGCTTCTCTCCTTGATTAGTTTCCATCCATTGCTTCTTGTCCTGTCTTGGAGAATAGGTTGTCTCCCTCTTCTTTGTGGCAACCCCTCAAATATTGGAAGACTGCTACCATGTCACCCCTGGTCCTTCTTTTCATTAAACTAGACCAGGCGTAGGCAACCTTGACTCTTTTATGACTCGTGGACTTCATCACCCAGAATTCCTGAGCCAGCCATGCTGAGGGGAAAAAGAGAGGTTTCCAAGGTGAACCATGCTGGCTCAGGAATTCTGGGAGTTGAAGTCCACGAGTCATAAAAGAGCCAAGGTTGCCTACCCCTGGTGGGGGGGATGCTACAATGGCCGTAAGTACGAGGACCGATTGTAAGTCACTTTTTTTTCAGCGCCGTTGCAACCTTGAACAGTCACTAAACGAATGGCTGTATGTCGAGGACCACCTTTCTCTGCGTCTAGTTTTGGGATAAGATTTCATGAAATGCAAGCCTATATAAACGCTTGCTTCAATAATATGAATAATCTCATGTCACTGGCTACTGAAGCACTTTGAGTAATATTCTCAGGCTTTGGGTCAACGTGACCCAGATTTCCGACTAATGGTAGCAAGTAATTTGATACTCAGTGGTGGTCTTCTCGGATTGCGCTGTTCAGATCAGGATGTTCCAGGATCTCTGTGAAACTGAACACTCTGTTGTGTTCTTCCATCCACATTTTTGCATAGGAAAAATCCTACTCTTTGCTTTGGGTCTGGTGTGGATAATTGGTTTTATACAACATAGCTGGTCTTTCAAGAGGGCAATTTTTCAATGAGCAAGTGCGTTTTCTTTTGAACCTATTTTCCAATTTAGGAGGTTAAGACAGCCCATGGGGAAATTGCTGCTCGAATTCATGATGTATTGGGAATATCATGGGCATATGTCGCATTATACACAGGTAGTCCTCGACTTACAACCACAATTCAGTTTTCTGTTACTAAGTGAGACAGTTGTTAAATGAGTCTTGCCCTATTTTAGGACTTTTCTTGCCACAATTGTTAAGTCAACCACTGCAGCTATTAAGTTAGGAACACGGTCGTTAAGGGAATCTGGCTTATCCATTGACTTTGCTTGTAAGAAGATCATAAAAGGTGATCACATGACCCCAGGACACTGCAAACATCACAAGTATGAGTCAGTTGCCAAGCATCTGAACTTTGATCAGGTGACCATGGGGATGCTGCAACGTTCATAAGTATGAAAAACGGTCATAAGTCACTTTTTCAGTGCCTTTGGAACTTTGAATGATCACTAAATGAATGGTTGTAAAGTGAGGACTAACTGTATCTGCGTCAGATAAATGGTCAAATAGGTGTTGGAGCCATCCTGTGACTGTGTGCTGGAGTATTACTTTTTCTAAAAATAAACATATAAATAAAAAAAATCCTTGGAATTCAATGTGATGCTGGAGAACTGACTTTCAAAATTTGCTTTCAAGGGGAATAAAAATTGGGTGGGGCATGATGTTCTTGTTCTTATTTAATTAGAGATGTCTCGTAGACATAGACCAGGGGTAGGCAACCTTGGCTCTTTTATGACTCGTGGACTTCAACTCCCAGAATTCCTGAGCCAGCATGGCTCAGCTTGAAAACCTCTCCCTTTCCCCTCAGCATGGCTGGCTCAGGAATTCTGGGAGTTGAAGTCCACCAGTCATAAAAGTGCCAAGGTTGCCTCCTCCTGACAATAGACCAATATTTCTCATGGGTGGCTGGAGAATTCTGGGAGTTGAAGTCCACACATCTTCAAGTGGCTGCCATTAAGCTAGAGATGAACATCCTTTTTTTTAAAAAAGTATCTTTCTGGTGGTGTGCAAACTCGCCAGCTCTCCCTGTTTCCACTCAATCCCCAAAATAAATTTTCTGACAGGGACTTTTTCAGCTGTGATATTACTGTAGCATTTCAAGGGAACAAAACTGGGATAGGTCCTCCTCCCGCTTGGAGAAATCATTCCCACTTTTTCTCTGCCCGCAAATCAGAGGGAGAATTTTAAAAGCCCACCTATAACCCGATTCTGTGCAAATTACAAACAGGGACTTTTGGAACAAAGCAATTCAGGCTGCCCTTTTGTCATCTACCTCTGTGCCCTTCTTCTGCGCCCATGTGAGTGTGTACAGTGTACATGTAACATCAAGTTTAAGGCCTGCAAGAACTGAATTTGCAAAGGAGACTTCGTAATCATTAACTTTGGCTTTGTTTCTCCATGTTCGAAAGCGAGAACCTAACTGTTGCGTGCAACAGAAGAAAACATTTCAGTTTCTAGTCCCTCCTGTTTGTCTCTTTCCTTGCCAGTGACAGAAATACTTCCTTCTTCAGATGAACAAGATAGTTTTTCTTTTTCTTTTTTTCTACCAGGTTTGTCTTTGCCAAAAGTTTCCAGTTTAGAAGCATTTTTAAAGCAAGGTCCAACAGCTAATCAAACAGTACTTCTCCATAATGATCCCCCCCCTTTCTACTGTTATACCAAATTTCTCCCTCCTTCTTGGTAGAACATAGAATAATGTGGTTGGAAGGGACCTTAGAGATCTTCTAGTCCAATCCCCTTGCTCAAGCAGGAGACCCTGTACTATTCCAGACAAGTGGCTGTCCAGTCTCTTCTTAAAAACCTCCAGTGATGGAGCACCCACAATTTCTGGAGGCAAGTCATTAATCCACTGATTAATTGTTCTCACTATCAGGACATTTCTCCTTAGTTCTAGGTTGCTTCTCTCTTTGATAAGCTTCCATCCATTGCTTCTTCTCCTGCCCTGAGATGCTTTGGAGAATAGGTGGACTCCCCTTCTTCTCTTTGACAGCCCCTCAACTACTGGAAGACAGCTATCATGTCACCCCAATTCTTCTTTGTTAGACTAGATCAGGGGTAGGCAACCTCGGCTCTTTTATGACTCATGGACTTCAACTCCCAGAATTCCTGAATCAGCTGACTAAAGAATTCTGGGAGTTGAAGTCCATGAGTCATAAAAGAGCCGAGGTTGCCTACCCCTGGACTAGATATACTTAGTTCCCTCAATCGTTCATCGCATGGTTTATCCTCTAGAACCCTTATCTTTGTTGTGCATGAACTTATCACCAAACAACTAAAACTTATAGTGGTACCCTGGCACTCAACTGCTTTGAAACTCATCAAATTTGGTACTCAAATAAATTTTGACATGAACATTTTGTCCCAGTACTCATTGTTTGTTTGGTACTCAATGCACAAGCTAGAACTTATCAGTACCGGCTGCCTCACTGTATTACTCCTTATGGGAAAAATTTGTTTGGTACTCATAGTTTTCGGTTCTCATTGAACCTCCCAGAACCAATTAAGGAGGAATACCAAGGTACCACTGTACTTCAAGCAGTTTACATTACCCAGACACAGACCCTGTATGAGCAAAAGATGGAATCCTGTGTTTGCTTTTTCCATCCAACATCTTTTATTAACCCACTTCAAGGCTACAAAGCATTCCACATTCCACACATTTGAACTTTGAGAACACTTCTTCAGGCAAATGGGATTTTTAAAAAGACAGAAATCAAGAAAGAGAACTAAACATGACTGGTGGTTCACATCTGCACCCCTCTAAGATAGCGATTCTCAAAATGTGATTTGGGGGAACCCTGGGTTCTTTTCAGGGGTTCCATGAAATCAAATACATATTTGAATATTTCTCAGTTCTAATTTCTAATAGAGTAAATATCAATAGAAGAGAATGTGTACAGTATATCTCCAGGTTGAACTGTGGAGTCCTTGATGCTCTCTAAGCTTGGTTATTTGCTTGCAGAAATTTCATGACACAACTAAGTAACATCATCACCAAATATCAGTAGATATAATCCATACAAACTAAAGCTCTTTGGAGCCCTTTATCATTTTAAAGAATGGGGGAGGGTTCCTGAGTCCAAAATATTTGAGAACTGCCGGTCTAGGTGATTTTAGGCTGGCTTTAGCAGGAGTTTAGATTTAGACTGAAGGCAGACACTCAATCCTGGTGGGTGCATTGGTGACAATAAATTGCATTGATGCAAACTCTTGGGAAGAGGAAAGGAACAATGCTTTGCCTGTTGTTGTGGGTTTTTGTGAAGGAAGAATCTCGCACGCAGCCAAATTTAATTTTTTTTATTTGAGTAGCTCATTTGCATGTCCACACCCACATTCCAAAGCTTAGAACTATTGCGAAAGTGGCTTGACCACCTCCCATATTTATTCTTTTATAATTCCTTTGGAGTTTTGCCAGCTTCCCTAAAGAAACTGTTCTGGAAATGCAAAACCTTGCCCAGTGTTATAAAACTGTTGAACTGGCCTGCAGAAGGCATGGTGTGGAGTAGATTTCATAGGTTGTTTTTCCTCAAGACCAAGATGGCGGCCTTTTCTTTTTAGAATTCATCCACACGTTTTCTTCCGTGATGCTGCGCTGGCTCTGTGTGTATGCTGAGCAAGGGAGAAAGGAGTAGATTTCAAGCAGTTGATTTCAACTGATTTTTAATAATAACAAAAGAAAATACAGGTAGTCCTTGACTTATAATTGGACACCTGGCGATTGTTTGAAATTATAACAGGCCACTGAAAAGCTACTTACTATTTAATGTTCCGATGGCTGTCCGCCTAGTCCCATTGACCTCATTTTTGACACTTGTCGACCAGTCTGATTTTCAGACCTTGTCAGAATGTCACAGAAGGTGATCACATAACCCCAGGACCCTGCAGCTGGCATAAAGACATGTCAGTTGCCAAGCGTATGAATTTTGATCACGTGGCCATGGGGACGCTGCAATGGCCATTAGAGTGAAAAATGGTCATAAGTCACTTTTTTTTCAGCTGTAACTTTGAACGATCACTAAATGAATAGTTGTAAGTCAAAGACTACCTCTATCTTATTATCAGTGTGGTTTCCTGCCCTTTTTTACCCTATAGAAATATTTTTATAAAAACTGCTGTCTTCCAAATACATTATGGAAGTACAGCTTTGATGTAAAAAGTGATTGATGGCAGTTGTAGCACAACAGATTTTATGGCATTGGAAGAGGGAAAGTCTAGCTTAGTGGAGCTCAACTAGGCTGGTATATATTAATCATCTCACTGACTCTATTCGCACACTTAACCTGGATATCAAATTAAACTAGCCTACTGTCTGGATTTATAGAACACATTGAATCAACAAGTTTCAGAGTCCAGAGTCGCCCTTGGTTGAGACTTAGGGAAAAGTACAAAGAAGAGCAACTGATGATTAAAGGCCTGGAGACTAAAACATATGAAGAACAATTGCAGGATTTGGGTTTGGCTAGTCTAGAGTAAAGAAGGACTAAGGGGGACATGATAGCAGTATTCCAGTATTTGAGAGGTTGCCACAAAGAGGAAAGGGGTCAACTTATTCTCCAAAGCACCAGGAGGCAAGACAAGAAACAATGGATGGAAACTAATCAAGGAAAGAAGCAACCTGGAATTAAAGAGAAACTTCCTGACAGTGAGGACAATTAACCAGTGGAACAGCTTGCTTCAGAAGTCGTGGGCACTCCATCCCTGGAGGTTTTTAAGAAGAGACTGGACAGTCACTTGTCTGAGATGGTATAGGTTCTCCTGCTTGAGCAGGGGGCTGGACTAGAAGGTGGTACCTTCCAGCTCTATTCTGATTCTGTTCTGATTCTGAGATGGGTGGCTATATAAATTTGATTAATAAATAAATAAATGAAATGTGGGCTAAGCAAACACATGATAAGTCCCAGGGAATGTACATGAACTTAGAAATTAGAATAGAATAGAGGTGGAAGGGACCTTGGAGGTCTTCTAGTCCAGCCCCCTGCTCAAGCAGGAGAACCTATACCATTTATTTTTATTTATTTTATTTATTTATTTATTTATTGATTGATTGTCCAGTCTCTTGAAAATTTCCAGTGATGGAGCGCCCATGATTTCTGGGGGTTAAGCATGATGATGATGATGATGATGATGATGATGATGATGATGATGATAATAATAATAAAGTTGCAAGGGACTTTGGAAGTCTTCTAGTCCAACACCCTGCTCAGGCAGGAAACCCTACACCATTTCGGACAAATGGCTGTCCAGTCTCTTCTTAAAAACTTCCAGTGTTGGAGCATTCACTGCTTCTGGAGCAGGTTGTTCCACTGGTTAATCGTTCTCACTGTCAGGAACTTTCTCCTTAGTTTTAGGTTGCTTCTCTCCTTGATTAGTTTCCATCCATTGCATCCATCTGCATGCGCTGCATTGGCATACAACGGACATTGTAGGAAAGTCTTGTTCATCTGTCATAGTAAAAAAAATAAATAGAGGAATCGGGTAGCATCTTTTTTGATTAGCAAATTTTATTAAAAGGCAAGATGCTTTTGTGAGCTGAAACTTGCTTCATCAGGTTCACAGAATGGCTAGTTGAATATTTGTCCACATTGGCAACTTGAAGATGAGTGGACCTGGCTGGCTGGCTGGGGAATTCTGGGTGTTGTAGTCCACCCATCTTCAAGTTGCCAAAGTTGAGAAACACTGGGCTACACTGATGTAGGATTTAAATTCGGATCTAGGAAGGGAAAACAGATGAGTTATGTACAGTGCTTTTTTTGTAAAAAAAAAAAAAAAAAAAAGGTGCCGGAACTCACACACGTCATACAACCCACCTTGCCTACCCTACAAGGTTCCATCCAAAAAAGGTGCCAGAACTCCGTTCTGGGCGTTCTATGAGAAAAAAAAGCCCTGGTTATGTAGATGCAGGCTACAAATGAGACAGATTTGTCAGTACCTTATCAGTTAACAATTGTGTGTGCAAAATATTTTTGAAGGCTTCTTAGAGAGCTTGAAACCTTTTGGTATATGTGACTTTAGTCATCTCTTGTTTAATGACATTGATAAAGTCTCTGTTTTCCTAGAGCAGTGATGGTGAACCTTTTAGAGACTAAGTGCCCCAAAACTGCCCCCTGCCTCCCACCCCACCCACCCACAGGTCCACCCACCACCTCCACGGCCTGCCGCAGCATGTGCGTGTGACAGGGCGTGAGGGTGGAGTCTTGTCCCCACTGCCCGGCTGCCATGTCCTTGGCTGCGCTGCTCCACGCGGGCCACGCTCAGGGGCCACGCTCAGGGGCGACTCTTCTCCCAGGGGGCTGCTGGTGAGGAGGGAGCCGCGGGGACAGGCAGGGCTGGGTGACGGTGTGTGTACCCACAGAGAGGGCTCTGCGTGCTGCCTCTGGCACACGTGCCATAGGTTCGCCACCACTGTCCTAGAGGGACAGTTTGAGGTCTATATCCTCTGAGGCAGAAATGCTGAAATCCTCCTTTGAGTCCTTCTTTGAGTCCATCAGATAGACGCATATATTGTGATCCACTGATGGATAGGATCAGTAAAGCATTGCTACAAGTGTTAGATTATGGGTTGTGTGTCTTGATGTGTAATGGGTTGAAGGAATAATCCTGAAGAACAGAAAGAAGAGTTGTAACCAAGGCAATGGTCTGATAATAGAAATCTGTGTCCAGGACAGAACTGTAACCTGAGGAAGCGTCCCTCCCTTTTTCATTCAGATACATCCAGTTATTCTAGCCTTATAATAAAAAATAGTTCAGGTAGTCCTCAATCTATGACCACAATTGAGCCCAAAATTTCTGTTGTTGTGAGACATTTGTTAAGTAAATTTTGACCTATTTTACAACCTTTCTTGCCACAGTTGTTAAGTGAATCACTGTAATTGTTAAGTTACTGGCTTCCCCATTGACTTATGCTTGTCAGAAGGGATCACTGCAGCCCTCGTAAATATGAGTCAGTTGCCAAGAGTCTGAATTTTGATCCTGTGACCATGGGGATGCTGCAATGGTCGTAAGTGTGAAAAACAGTCAGAGGTCGGTTTTTTCAGTGTCCTTGTCATTTTGAACGGTCAGTAAATGAACTGTTGTAAGTTGAGGACTGCATGTATTAACAGTTCGATCTTCCTTGAAGGGCTGACATGATGCTACCCGAGGTTCAGTTCTCACCATTCTCTTTTTTCCACCTCATTTCAGAGTTCTTGGAGGACTTCCCCGATGGCCGAGAGTGTGTTAACTGTGGGGCCATGTCCACCCCCTTATGGAGGAAAGATGGCACAGGGCATTATCTGTGCAATGCCTGTGGCCTCTATCACAAAATGAATGGGATCAACAGGCCTCTTATCAAGCCACAGAAAAGACTGGTAAGTCTGACTCAGGCTGAGTTGTTGGTTTTCTAGGAATGCTTAAAGGATACTACTCGTTGATAGTATCTCTAACATGTGTTTCACTGTCCTGACACATCAGTCTGAGAGGGGAAATGGGATTTCCATGCTTGGAGGTTCTTGAACTCTGAAATAATAAGGGAAAAGCTGATCCTGGCTGGTTAGATATAAAGCATCTAGCAACTCCCCTTGCCTATAGAGCAGAGGTCCCCAACCTATGGGTTGCGGCCGGTGGTGGGATTCAAACATTTGAACAACCAGTTCTCATATTTGATGCAGGCATGGGCCTCCGATGCCTAGAACGGATTTCCAGAAGTGGCATCCTTACACTTCCGGTGGGCTGTTCTAGGCCTGGGAGGACGCCTCCGATGCCTAGAACGGACTTCCGGAAGTGGCATCCACACACTTCCGGTGGGCTGTTCTAGGCCTGGGAAGACTCGTCCAGGCCTCCGAGACCTAGACTGGACTTCTGGAAGCCAGCCGGTTCTCCCTATTCATGTAAATTTAGCGACCAGTTCGTGCAAACCAGCTGAATCCCACCACTGGCCACGGCCCACTACCAGGCTGTAGCCTCTTGGCCACTGGGCCGCATGAGTAGCTGGGCAGTGCATGCGCTTATGCACATGCTCACCCTCCCTCGTGCCTCCGTTGCCACGAGTATTGTGTGGGCGGTGGTGCTGCCACAAATCTTGTGCAGGGGGCAGCAGCGCCACAAGCGGCAGGTGGGTGGTGGTGCACCACCCACAAGTGGCAGCATTGCCACAAACCTTGTGCGGGCGGCGGCAGCACCGCAAGTGGCAAATGAGCCACAGCACGATCTTTGCACGGGCTGCGCCACGAGCCTCATGCTGGGGCAGCATCGCTGCAGGCTGCGGCGCAATCCTCACACAGAGGCAGTGGCACGAACCTTGTGTCGGAGTGGCGGTGTAAACCTTGTGCCGGGATGGCATCATTGGGGCCCGCGGCACGATTCTCACGTGGGGACGGCAGCATGAGCCTCGGACCGGGGTGGCATTGCTGTGGGCCGTGGTACGAGCCTCTCGCTGGCGATAGCATTACCGTGAGTCTGGCAGCAGTGGCGCCACAAGCCTCTGTCATAAATAGAGGCCAATTGCCAAGCCTCTGAATTTTGGTCATGTGACCCTGGGATGCTGCAACGATCAAAAGTGTGAAAAATGGTCATAAGTCACTTTTCGATGCTGTTGTAAATTTGAACAGTCACTAAGTGAATGGTTGTAATTCGAGGACTACCTGTGCACAGATCTCCCATTCATGTATATGTATATATATATATATGAATATATATGTACGGGTATAGATATAGATATAGATATAGATGATTTAGATATAGATGATTTAGATATAGATATAGATAGAGAGATAGAGAAATAGAGAGATAGAGACAGAATGTATATAGCATGTGTATATGTGTGTTATGTATGTTATGAGTTGATATATACTTTCTTTTGAGAGCAGGCAACAGAATTTCATTTGTAACATTTGCCAGTGTGCTCACAGTAAAAAAATGACAATAAAGGTTATCGTATCTTACTGTATTGAAGGAGGGAGAATTCCAGAATATTTTTACAGCATTTGTACCTCAAATAATTGTTTGTGCTCTGCAACCCGATACAAAGTGGGCCATCAAACCAACAAACCAGCTTCTCAACCTCGGCTGTTCAGGCGTCACATATTCTGAAACCACACTGACTCCCAGTTCGGCCTGGAAAAACCATGGGCCAAGATAAGCTGTAAATGGTCCATGTTTTGCCATTCGGAGCTTCTCACTTCATTCTAGAAGATTGTACTTCTGTGTATGTGTGTTTGTGTGTGTCTGCACGTCCTCCAGGGTTACTCACCAAACATTCAAAAATGTAGCATTTCCCCCCCCCCCTCTCCTTCAGTTGTTTGGAGAATAGATCATGCCACGTGGGCTGCAAAAACATCGCCTCGTCCTTGAGACCCCGTACTGAAATTTAAAACACTGAACTTTTCCAGAGTCTTGATAATGTCTCTTTGGCCTTTGAAGTGTGTATAACTGAAAGCAACCAGAGGGGAAAGTATGTCTTGTAGTAGAAGTAGGGAGGGGAGGAATTGTACAGACCTATGGATACAACCTCAAATGTGCCTCCTGCAAGTTGGGCTTTAGTAGATAAAAGCTGAGCAGATAAACTATTAAAAGGGAGAAATTTCAGTGGTCTCTTTCCTCAATCAAGAAAATCCTTACAAGAGCTGTGTTTCTGTTCGTATTTGGGACGAGGATGTTGTTGTTTTGATCCGCTTCTTGGATCTCTGTTCTCTGCGTTTATTTTCCTTTCTTCTTCTCTTGCAATAAATCACAAGAAAGAAAGAAAGAAAGAAAGAAAGAAGAAAAAAAGCAAGGCATCACCGGTAAGGTCCACTAGCTTTAGAGAGCGGGTGAAACTTCTGGGTGTGTTTTGAATAAACACACTTGGAAACTCACGATGCGGAGGGCTTATCAACTACATTTGGGCTGCTTTAGACACTTCGTGATTAGCTTTCTGCTTAAGGACTCAGCCTGATTTTGTATAAACAAACAGCGTTGGCCCAGCACTGAAATCAGCAACTTTGGGCAAGGTCAACCCTTTACAGAGACATAAAAAGGAGGAGAAATTCACTCTCTGTTCTGAAAAACTATTGGAGTGATTTGAGGGTTCCCCCTCCCTTTCCATTAGCCAAACAGATTTTTTTTTCCTCGTTTCATTGGTGTTGCCAAATGTCAAAACAAAGGAACGTGTTACTCAAGTCGGCTTTAGAAGAGCAGCCTTCTTCCTTGAAGGGCTGTGTGCTGTAACACACAGATAGTCCTCGACCTAACGGCCACAATTGAGCCCAAAAATTCTATTGCTAAATGAGGCAGCTCTTAAGTGAATTCTGCCCCGTTTTACGACTTTTCTTGCCACGGCTGTTAAGTGAATCGCCGCCGTTGTTAAGTCACATGATTGTTAAGTGACTCTGGCTTCCCCATTGATTTTTGCTTGTCGGAAGGTTGCAGAAGGGGATCACAGGACCCCAGGACACTGTAACCGTCATAAACGTGAGTCAGTTGCCCAGCGTCCAAATTTTGATCACGTGACCATGGGGATGCCGCAATAGTCGTAAGGGTGAAAAACAGTAATAAGTCACTTTTTTTTCAGTGCCGGTGTGGTCACTAAAATGAACTATTGTAAGTCAAGGAGTATCTGTATCAGCTAAGGGCGACCTCTCCTGCATTGGATGAGGTGCCTTTAAAACCACCAAAAGGCCATTGGGAATAATCTGCTCCTTTTTACAAGGTCAGAAGCCTCTCTCATTGCTCCTTGAAGTCCTGGTAGAAGAAACCAACCACAAATCTTGTGCAAGGCCAGGAAAGAGACTCGTGGCAGCTTCCACCGTGGCTGCGTTTTCTACTTTCACAACTGTTTTTGCAACCTGAATGTTGAACTGTCTTCTCTGCCTCGTCACGTCATCCATTTTCTCTAAATGCTGATCCCGCCGCTGTGAAGTTTGCCGAGCTGGGCATTTGAGTTCCTGCTTCTTTCACTTCATCCATCATTTGTGGTCCCAAGTTTTTAATAGTAAAGTAAACAGATATGGAATTCTTCGGCGCGTACATAATTTCCAAACCAGCTGGGTTATGATCATCACAGGCCGAGGCCTTCTCTCTCGCAAAGGTTGCGAAGTATTCCTGAAGCACCTGAAGTGAGAGCTGAAGTGAGACGAGGGTCAGCCTGTCGACCGGAAAGCAGTCCCTTGGAGACGTTTGTGCTGTGGAGAATCCTCCCCACCACCCAAAAATTGTCCCTTGACAGTCAGCATGTCAAGAAAAGGTCAGGCTAGCGAAGAACGGGGAAACTGGGAGCCTTCCAACTGTTGCTGAACTACAATTCCCAGTATCCTCTTGTTTGGGTCGGAATGAGACAATTCTCTGCAGCCAACTCACCACAGCCAGCTTGTTGCGGGACAATTTACCACAACCACGGGACGATTTAACAATTTAACAATTCAATTTAATTATTTTCATTAATAAAATTATAAATAAAACATTTCAATTATAAATAATAAATACATAAAATTATAAATACAAAAACATTTCAATTTTTGTCGTTCGCATTTCATTTTCCCCCCCTTCTTTGGCATCCTTTCTTTAATAATTCTTTTCAACCATTTATTTGATATGAGTGTAACTCTTTGTCCCGCAGTGAGTTGCCCACAGTTGTCCTGTGGTGACTTGGTTGTGGTGATTTGTCATAGACCCTGTTGGGGTGACCAAGGGCGATGGTTGATGGATGTTGTAGTCATGTTGTAGAAACATTTAGATGTTCACAGTTGCCTCTCCCAGCTAAGGGTCATATTTACATGCCAGTTGCCAAGCACCCAAATTTTGATCACATGACCCTAGGGATGCTGCAATAGTCGTAAGTGTGAGGACTGATTACAAGTCCTCTGTAATGTCAAACAATCACTAAATGAATGATTATAAGTCAAGCACTGCCTCTAATAAGGATCCGTTTCCTACTCTTCAGAGCAGAGCAGAGAAATGATCTTAATGCAAACCTGTTTGCACAGCTTAAGGGGCCTTCTCTTTTTAAAAAATTCTTAAAAAAGTTAAAAGCAAGAGAGCCAGAGAGTTTTTGACGATGCAATGAACTTTGATCTTGGGAAAACTTACGAGCTATGTTTTAAAGTTGTCCTTTGATTTATCACGTATGTGTTTCTTTGCCTTGGAGTTTATCATGGGAATAAAAAGTTGGTTAACTCGCATGGTCGTTTAGCACCACAAGGCAAAACAAAAATGCAGCTGCTTTCATGAGTCACTCATTCAAACAATTCTGAAAGCACCCAGAACTTTTCTTGGAATTTTGCAAAAGCCTGGGGTTTTTTGTTGTTGTTTTGTTTTTAGTACACATCAAAGCAGGTGGGGCTTGGATTACACATAGAGATGGATGGGTGGGTGGATGGATGGGTGGGTGGGTGGATGGATGGATGGATGGATGGATGGATGGATAGATAGATAGATAGATAGATAGATAGATAGATAGATAGATAGATAGATAGATAGATAGATAGATAGATAGATAGATAGATAGATAGATAGATAGATAGATAGATAGATAGATAGATGGAGGGATAGATGGAGGGATAGATGGAGGGATAGATGGAGGGATAGATGGAGGGATAGATTTGTGTGTATATGCACACAAATGCATGAGAGCAAGAGAGAGATGAGACAGAGAGAGAACACACAGTGCTAAATCTTTGGCTTAGCTTCTCCTCTGGTACTTTGTGAAACTTTGGCAAAAGTCCACTTAAATTCAGGGAAGAGGATTTAAAGGAATATTACCAGAGTATGTCACAACCTCAAAGAGAAAAAAAAATCCCCATGCACAATGCAAAAAGACATGATCTCAGCAGATTGTTATTGCTTCCAATGAGCTGTGTTGCCTTTAATGTGGGATCAAGGCTTTTCATGTTTCGGGAAATGGTTTTAATTTTGATTGCCTCCTAATTGATGCCTCATCATATATTTTTTTTCTTGGCTCCCCCTCCTTCCCAAAATGTGCTTCTGTTCTTTAAGACTGTTTCTCTGCTTTTCCTTGGCAGTCTTCAACTCGTCGAGCTGGTCTTTGCTGCACTAACTGTCACACGACCAACACAACCCTCTGGAGACGGAACGCAGAAGGGGAGCCGGTGTGCAACGCCTGTGGATTATACATGAAACTCCATGGGGTAAGAAGAGAGCATAATTTCCTGCATTTATTTATTATCTTTTAATACTTCGATGTGTTGATTATCAATAATTATCGTTCAGGAATAGTTGCTCGGATGTTGTTGCTACATCATGTCCAACTCTTCACATCCCTGTGGACCATAGCATGCCAGGCCTTCCTATCTTCCACTGTCTCCCAGATTCATTGCGTCAATGACACCATCTAACCATCTCCTCCTCTGCCATCCCCTTCTCCTATTGCCTTCCATCTTTCCCAACATCAGGGTCTTTTCCAATGACCCCTCTCTTCTCATTAAATAGTGGCCAAAGGATTTGAGCTTCGGCTTCAGTCTCTGTCCTTCCAAAGAACAGCCAGGGTTAATTTCCTTTAGGACTGACTGATTGGATCTCCTTGCCATCCAAGGGACTCTCAAGAGTCTTCTCCAATACCACAATTCAAAAGCATCAATTCTTCTGAACTGCCTTATGGTCCAACCCTCACAGCCATACATTACTACTGGGAAAACCACAGCTTTGACTATACAGAACTTTGTCGGCAAGGTGATGTCTCTGCTTTTTAATATGCTGTCTAGGTTTGCCATAGCTTTCCTCCCAAGGTGCAAGCGTCTTTTAAATTCATGACTAACCATCGTCTGCCAAAAAAAGGTCAATGCAATCCTAGGTTGCAACAACAGAGGAATAATAATATCAGGATCATGTGACGTATCAGTACTGCTATGTACTGCTTTACTAAGACCATACTTGGGTTACTGCATTCAATTTTGGTCACCACAATGTAAAAAAGATGTTGAGACTCTGGAAAGAGTGCTGAGAAGAGCAACAAAAATGATTAGAGGACTGGTGGCTAAAACATATAAGGAACGGTTGCAGGAATTGGGTATGTCTAGTTTAATGAAAAGAAGAACTAGGGGGTGACATGATAGCAGTGTTCCAATATCTCAGGGGCTGCCACATAGAAGAGAGAGTCAAGCTATTCTCCAAAGCACCTGAAGGCAGGACAAAAAGGTGGAAGAGATCCAACTGAGAACTAAGGAGAAATTTCCTGACAGTTAATAAGTGGAATGGCTTGCCTCTGGAGGTTGTGGGCATTCCACCACTGGAGGTTTTTAAGAAGAGACCAAAGAGCCAATTATCTGGAATGGTGCAGGCAGTGGTGGGATTCAAATATGTGAACAACTGATTCTCTGTGTGGATGCCACTTCTGGAAATCCGTTCTGGGCCTAGGCAACAAAAATTAGCTACCGGTGCTGCTGAACTGGTGCGAACCGGCTGAATCCCACCACTGGGTGTAGGGTTTCCTGCTTGAGCAGGACATGGGGGATCCTTGATTTATAACCACAATTGGGACCAGAATTTCTGTTGCTAACTGAAACTGAATCTCAAACTGAAGCGCAAATGGTGCCTGTAGAGTGCAATGGGATGAACGCCCTTTGAATGGTGCGGGAATATGAATGGATTTCCAGAAAACACTGCAGACTACAGGAACCATTTGCACTTCAGTTTGAGATGCAGACAACACAGACTCATCCCCAACAGCCTGAGCCTGTCTTCAGCGGTGAAGGGACCCAGGGCAGAAAAACATCCTGCAGCCAAGAAGGCTCCACACCCATTTGCACCACTTAGGTGACCCTGAGGACACAGACAAGCCTCCAAGTAGCCTCAACGACTCTCTGAAAGAAGGCAAATGACCAACTCTCTGCAAGGAGTATAAAAAATCCTTCCATTCCCCACCATCCAGTCAGAGCTGAAGAAGCTTCTTAGATGAGAAGCGAAACGTCTTCAAGAAAAACAAGAAAGTCCAGTTGCCTCCTGAAAAAAGCACCTTTGGGGTCGCTGTGTGGTTGTGGCCGAGAAGGAGGACTGGGAGGAAAGATAATATATCATTTGGGAAGTTTTCCAAAGATTGTGCCTCACTCATTTACTAGCCAAGGACTGCCATTGAGGAAAACAGTTTGCAGTGAAGGACAAGGACATGAGATATATTGTGTGCAAATTCCAGGTCCGCATGCAGAAAGGGAATGTGTTGTAGCCATCTAGAGCAGAAACTGCAAAGTATTGAAGGTTTATGCCTTTTGTTTGTTTGTTTGTTGTTTATGTGAAGGTGCCAAGACCTCTGGCAATGAAAAAGGAAAGCATCCAGACCAGAAAACGGAAACCTAAAAATGTCAGTAAAAGCAAATCCTCAACAAACAGTAAGTTTCATTATTATTCTATTTGTTAGTGCGCAGCTAAATGTCTACGGAGATTCTCTGTCGTCCAAGTCACGGGTGTCCCCAAAAGTGCTTTTTCAAGAGGCTTCAAGTGTTTTTCCTTGAAGATATTTCTCTTCTCATCCAAGAAGTTTCTTCAGCTCTGAACTGAAGAAGCTTCTTTTAGATTAAAAGCGAAACATCTTCAAAGAAAAACAAAGAGAGTTCAGTTGCCTCTTGAAAAAAAATACTTTGGGGATATTCTATTGGTTAGGGATGCAGGTAGTCCATAATTGAGCTGACAATTACAGTTTTAAGTCGTGCTGGTCATTAAGTGGATTGGTGTGTAAGCACATCTGATTTTACAACCTTTTTCAGGCTGGTTGTTAAGCAAATTGCTGCATTGTTAAATAAACACGGGGGTCATCAAAGGAATCCATTGTCCCTTAATGGGTGTTTTTTTTTTTTTTGCTGGAAACCAGAAGTAAGTGCCAGTTTCCTGCAACAAAACTTTGTAAATTGTGGCCACGTGATTGTGGGAGGCTACAAGTGGGCCCTAAATGCAGGGTGAGGGAGGGGTGGATGGCCACTGGAACTTTGAATCTAGATTATAAATAGCCCTGGGGAGGTCCATCAGAACTTCAAATGGTCACTAATCGAACAGTCATAAGTCGGGGAGTATCTTTATTATTGCTTATCAGAATGCATAGCATTTTTCAAAACAGTAGAACAGGAGTCCCCCAAACCCTGGCCCATGGACCAGCACTGGGCTGCAGCATGCCAGAAAACTGAGCTGCGCAATCAAGCAAAGTCCATCCGCACACAAAACCACACACCCCTCCGGGCCATGGAAAAACCTCTCTCCATAGAACTGGTCCCTGGTGCCCAAAAGCTTGGGGGCCACTGCAGTAGAAGACATCTTGAAGTCCCCAAAGTGTTGTTGTTTGTCAGAACCATCATGATGCAGTTGTTTGAATGCAGTATTGCAGACAAACTCTGCTCACTGCCAGCAGTTTGATCCTGACTGGCTCAAGGTTGACTCAGCCTTCCATCCTTCCGAGGTTGGTAAAATGAGGACCCAGATTGTTGGGGAGCCATATGCTGACTCTGTAAACTGCTTAGAGGGGGCTGTAAAGCTCTATGAAGCGGTATATAAGTCTAGGTGCTGTTGCTATTAAATTCTCTGGAAGGAGAGCAGAAAGAAAGAAGATAAGGATTTAGGAAGGGAACTTAGATTTGATTAAGTTATTCTTTGGCTGAATTCAAACAGGGTTCTGACAGATAATGTCGTTTGGTTGATTTTAGCTTAGCGTAGCCGTGTCTAGCTTTGAAGCATCAAGACATGTTGGAATACTATAAAAGCAAACGCAGTCCCAATGCATATAATAAGAGTCCCATTGGGAAGTGTATTGTGTGAACGCATCCATTGTGGCTTGCAGATCTAAGTTTACATCTTAGTTCCATAGATGTGCCTAGGTGGTAGTTACTTCAACAAACTAGGGGTAAGCAAGTTATTAGCTTCATCTGATTTGTGAACTACATTTTTTGCAGCTCTTGGGACAACCGGGAGTTGTGTTTTATTTTCAACCTTGCCCTATCCAAATTCTTAGCCCAAAGCACTGCAATTTCAGGATGGATCACTCCCCATGATTTTGCCTAGCTCTGACAAAGAATGATGGTTAAAGATTGATTTCAGTCATTTTGAACTGTAAACCTTCTTGAGTGCTTTGGCAGCAAGACTGTAAATAAATGCATAACGGAATCCAAACAAAATGTTACAGGGCAGACATTTTTGGAGATTTCTGCTACCTCTGCCCTCTTCCTGTATTTTCAGTTCAACTCCCACCAATTCTGAAATGTTTTCTTATCCAGCAGTTAGCAAGTATTCGTGGCATTTCAGGGCCACTGAGCACAGTAACTCTCATTAAGTTCTTCAGAGTTATTTAGGTTTTCTTTCTTATTTGTGAAAACACTGGGCTTCCCCCTACAATGCTAACAAGGCCTTCTCAGTGTCAAAAGAGTGGCTTAAAACTGTTTTTTTACCGTATTGTTGTTCACTGACGGGGTCTGAGATAATCTCCCTTTTACTATAGGGTTTCTGCTTTTAATGCTTATTTTCTTGAGCCTGTGGAGAGCTCCTTTGATCATTGTAGCAACTTATAAGTTGATTTTAAAAATAGAAATGGAACGGGAACTGCATTAGGATCGGTTAATGGAAAGATAAGTTAGAATTCTAACCAAGAGACAACCAAATGGAGTGGCATTTGGCCTTCATCATCGTACTGGTAGCCCTCGACGTACGCCCGCAACCCCCAAATTTCTGTTACTAAGCGAGACACTTGTTAAGTGAGTTTTGCCCCATTTTGCCACCTTTCTTTGCCACGGTTCTTAAGTGAATCACTGCTGTTGTTAAGTTAATAATACAGTTGTTAAGGGGCTTCCCCCCTGACTTTGCTTCTGAGAAGGTCACAAAAGGGGATCATGTGATCCCCAGGACACTGCAACCGTCATAAATATGAACCAGTTGCCAAGCCTCGGGATTTTGGTCATGTGACCCCCCAGGGATGCCGCAATGGTCATACGTGTGAAAAATTATTTAAATCAATTTTCCAGTGCCGCCATAACTTTGAATGGTCACTGAACAAATGATTGTGAGTGGAAGACTATCTGTATAGTACTGGGGTAGGCAACCTTGGCTCTTTTATGACTCGTGGACTTCAACTCCCAGAATTCCTGAGCCAGCATGGCTCAGCTTGGAAACCTCTCTCTTTCCCTCAGCATGGCTGGCTCAGGAATTCTGGGAGTTGAAGTCCACAAGTCATAAAAGAGCCAAGGTTGCCTACCCCGGTATAGTAAAAGGCAGTGAAAACTTTTGAAGTGGGATGGAAATACTAACGAATGACAATATGAGACAATTGTGGGTGATAATTGCTTGATCTGCTTGACGCGTTCCTTAATATATACAATTCTAATATATATATTTATATATATTTTCTATCACTCTCAGGTTCCACAACTTCAACCACCAATTCTCCTTCCTCACTTACAAACTCAGAGAGCACAGTCACTTTAAAAACCGAACCCGCCATTACCCCACAATATCCGGGACAAGCAATAGTGTCAACTTCCCAGGTCAGTACAATCAGCAGGGACCTCACACCAGTGTAAGTCCTCAACTTACAACCACAATTTGGAACTGGCACTTCCGTATCTAAGCGAGGCGGCGGTTTAAGTAGGCCGCGCCCAATTTTATGACTTTTTTTTTGCTGTGGACAATTAAATAAATCGCCATGGTCACTAAACGAGTCGTGCAGTCATTCAGTGAATCTGACTTTTCCCCCACTGATTTTGTCAGAAGCCGTCCGGAAAGGTCGCAAGTAGTGATCATGTGACCCAAATTGGTTGCTCGGCAACCACTGGAAACGCACGCCAGTTGCCAGGCGCCCAAATTCTAACATGCGACTGCACTTTTTTTCAGTGCCGTATATCTTAATGAAATGAATAGTTGCAAGTTGAGGAAGTACTTGGATTCCTAACAAACTTTTATGTCATTTTTTTTCAATGCAAAAACAGCCACGTGTATATATGTGTGTGTGTGTGCGTGTGTTTAAAAAAAAAAGCAGTTTGCTACAAAATTGAGAAGCCTAAGCAAGTAACCCAGGGGGGACCGAGTCATGTCCAATTTTACAACTTTTTTGGGGGGGGCACAGTTATTAAAAGAGAATCACGGTAATCGTTAAGTAAATCATGTGGTCGTTAAATGAATCTGGCTTTCCCCCATTGACTAAGAAAGTCACAAATGGGGATCACTTGACCCCGGGACCACTTGACCCCAGGATATTGCAGCCATTGTAAATATATGCCAGTTGCAAGAGCCTGGATTTTGATCGTGTAACCGTGCCATGTAAAGGGAAAGTCGTAAGCGGAAGGGCTACTTGTAAGTCTCTCTCTTTGCAGTGCCATTGTAACTTTGAACGGGCACTAAATGAAGGGTTGTATATCAAGGACTCCCTGTAACAAGAGCCAGAACGGTACCCAACAAATGTCTTTAAGAATGTCATATTTGCAATAGTGGCAAATATCTCTAGCTCTGGTGTAGGATGAGCGTGGAGGTCCGTTCTCCAAGCTCGTGGGTTGGTTTCTGAACGTTTCGTTACCAGACTAGGTAACATCTTCAGTGGAGTTTATGAGGGAAGTTGGTGTCTTCAGGTGTGTGTGTGTCCAGTGAGGGTCTTGGGATGACTCTTGTGATGGGTCAGGTGGGAGTCATCAATGAGAGACTTGTGATGGGGAGGCTACATCAGGTCAGGGACATTGGGAGATGAACTGGTGGGAGGGATGGGGGGCTTGCGTGTGCTGGTTGAGGGTCGGTGCTGTCTCTGGCTGGCTGTGCGGTTGATTTGGATGCTGAGGGGTTCGTAGGCTGGTTGTAGGTCGATGTGTGTGTGGATGGAACTGCTTGTGGAGTACCAGGCTTCGATGAACTCACGAGCGAGGTGGGTGGTAGTATGGCCGATGATTTTTGTGTTGCTCCAGTCCAGGGGTAGGCAACCTTGGCTCTTTTATGACTCGTGGACTTCAACTCCCAGAATTCCTGAGCCAGCATGGCTCAGCTTGGATACCTCTCCCTTTCCCCTCAGCGTGGCTGGCTCAGGAATTCTGGGAGTTGAAGTCCACGAGTCATAAAAGAGCCAAGGTTGCCGACCCCTGCTCCAGTCGAATTGGTGCTGTCTGCTGTCGGGTGTGGGTGGAGATTAAGGATTTGGGATTGTGGCGTTTGACTGCTAGCTTGTCCTACCTGTGGTGGTGATGAACTCATTGACTAATTCCTGATCCCTGCAGGCTCCAAGTCATTCTGAAAACGGGCTGGAGGACCCCCATCCCCAGTTCAAGTATGAGCCAGAAGACTACACTTTCCCAGCATCTGCCATGTCCCAGCCGTTGGGTCTGAACGTTGGCCCTCGTCAAGACTCCTGGTGTGCCTTGGCCCTGGCCTAAGCCTTCCATTCGGAAAACCGAGGCATCCTTTCCACCCCCCCTTGAGGACATCACTGGAGAGCAGACAAAAAGACTTCCGGGCTTTAATCCTTTGGAGCTGCCAGGTTTCTTGTAATCAGCATGGTTTTCTGTTCCTTGGAAATACCTTCCTTCCTTCTTCTCTATGGAGGCTGCTGGTGACACCCCCCCACCACCTGTGGTCTTTTGCTGCTGAGTCTGTTGGCCCTTTGAATTTCTAAATGTTGATATTCTTTCACCAATCAAAAGGAAGGGATTTGGGAGCCCTGACCTCAGACCACAAGTCTTTCTTTCTCCCTTCTCCATCCAAAAGAGATTGAAATCTATGTTGTGTTCACGGTGATTCTTCCTCTTCCTTCCCCTCCTCTTTTTTTTTTTAAATGACTCCTTTGTGTGCAATTTTATTCCACTTCCTAATAAAGACAAGATGGTAACATCTAACACCAAGGTCATTTAATTTATTAAAACCCAAACGGGGCCGCCTCCCTCACATGCGCCATGAACTAAAGGTGGAAAAATGGAGTTTCAGGGGTTCCTAAACAGTTCAACACCACCACCACCCCACACACACATAAACACATTGAGTTGAGCTTAATTTTTAAAATTTTGGAGAACTCATGACCTGTTCTTGCCTTCAAGAGGGATGGTTTCCAACTTGGTAACCCAGACTGGGATTTTCAGGCATTTGTTGTTCAACTTTGGTTGGTTTTTGAGTCTAGACAACATCGGTGAGACTGATAAGACAGGAGTGCAGAATTAACTGCCATTTTTAAAAAGCCACATGTGGAGGCTCTCAAGTGGGGCTCTTTGCTGTGCAAACTCAAATGGGGAAAGTGTCTCGGCACTCCATCATGCTCTTATCAGAATAATGGAATTGGAAGGGACCTTGGAGGTCTTCTAGTCCAGCCCCCTGCTCAAGCAGGAAAACCCCATACCATTTCAGACAAATGGTCGTCCAATCTCTTCTTAAAAACCTCCAGTGTTGGAGCACCCAAACTTCTGGAGGCAAGTCATTCTACTACTTAATTATTCTCACACAGGAAATTTCTCCTTAATTCTAGGTTGGATTCCCCCCTTAATTAGTTTCCATCCATTGCTTCTGGTCCTGCCTTCAGGTGCTTATCAGGTCTGGAGACCTCTGCTCCTTACTAGGTGGGTGAATTAAAACTCTGCACCCTCAAAACTCTGCACCCTCAACCATGCTAGTTGGAGAGGCTGGAGTTGTCATTCAGACTATTATGTATAAGCATAATTATCTAATAAATTAAATTAATTGAACTAATGAATTAAATTGACATTTAATAAATTCACAAATTAAATATACATATTTATAATCTACAGAGCTACACAAATTAGGAAGAGCAATCCAGGTCAAGGAGCATCGTGAGATGGCACTTCTTTTCCCCCCAGAATCTCCTTTGTAAATTCTGAAGAAACATCCGTATCAGTTCTGAAATTTCTTCTGTAAGCTACACACAAAAAGAGCCAGTTTGGTTTAACAGTTAAGACACCAAGTTAGAAAGCAGGAGAGTGTAAGTTCTTAAGTATGAAACTTGGCTGGATGACTTTGGACCAATCACCAGGAGACTTTGAGTTCTAATTCCGCCTTAGGCTTGAAAGTCACCTGCTGGATGACTTTGAGCCAATCAGAAAGAGATTATGAGTTCTAGTCCCCGCCTTAGGCTTGAAAGTCAGCTGGATGACTTTGGGACAATCACTAGGAGACAGAAGGGAATAACAGAGTTGGAAGGCACCTTGTAGGTCATCTAGTCCAAACCCCCCCCCCGCCCAATAGGAGACCCTACACTATTTCTGACAGATGGCAGATGTTGAATTCCATCTTAAGCATGGAGGCTGTCTGGGTGACTTTGGGCTAGTCCAGGGGTAGGCAACCTTGGCTCTTTTATGACTCGTGGACTTCAACTCCCAGAATTCCTGAGCCAGCCATGCTGAGGAGAAAGGGAGAGGTTTCCAAGCTGAACCATGCTGGCTCAGGAATTCTGGGAGTTGAAGTCCACGAGTCATAAAAGAGCCAAGGTTGCCTACCCCTGGACTAGTCACTCACTCTCAGCTCAACCCACCTCATAAGGTGGTGATAGTGGGGAAAATGGGAGGAGGAAAGAGAATTAGGTATGCTTACCACCATGTGTTATTTATAAACAATAGTAAAGGCAGGAAATAAATTAAGAGGGGAGATGCTAGATATTCACTGTTATACTTTTGACCACTAATGGAGTTGGGCTTAATTTTCAATAGTAAAATCCACTAGAAACAGAGCAGGTTTAGCTCTTCAGTTTATGGTGTTTATAAAACAATTACAACTTTGGACTCTCTAAACATAATCATTCTTGTTTATGAATTTTATTAATTTATAGTATAAGATACAAAGAAAATACAAAGTAATAGTAGGAAGGTTAGGGAAGAGGAAAGGGAAGAGGAAAGTGAGGGAAAGGAAGGGCAAAAAAGAAAAAAGGGGGGGGCATTGACTTGGTGCAGTAGAATAGAACATTAACATCAAACTTCCAACTTTTTACTTTTACCTAATAGTATAAATTAGCCCAGGGGTAGGCAACCTTGGCTCTTTTATGACTCGTGGACTTCAACTCCCAGAATTCCTGAGCCCAGCATGGCTCAGCTTTGAAACCTCTCCCTTTCCCCTCAGCATGGCTGGCTCAGGAATTCTGGGAGTTGAAGTCCACGAGTCATAAAAGAGCCAAGGTTGCCTACCCCTGAACTAGCCATTTTGATAACAACAAATCTATCTAATTGGTAAAGCCCAAAATCAACATTTCATTTTTTTGCACCTCAAGCACAAAGTCTTGAAGGGTTATGCTTGAAGACATTCTGGGAAGAATTGCAGTTACATACCAAATAAATAAATAAGGAATTATTTCAGCAAGCATGTCATGTCACACATGCATTTCCTAAGAGGTATTTTATTGATATACACATTACACTAATCTACCGTAAGTATTAGAATGGTTTAGTTTTGGGTTAAAAAATCCTGGGAAATGAGTACTGGGATGGCATTCCTGAAGGCACATCTTGAGATGGTTTTATCCTCAGTCACTGCATGCATATATTTGATTGGGACATTTGGTAGAAGCTCAAGTGAGGAAGTTGCGAAATAAGAAAGCTGCTGTAGAGATTAGTGGTAATGGATCCTCAAATTGCATTAACCAGGAACAGGGTGTCAAATCCTGAACAAATAAAATCCAGCTATACTTTGTCAACCAGGCTGTGTTTAAAATAATGTACCCAGTTTGGGATACTATATTGTGAGAAGGGCAAAGAGAATTTGGAAACTGGAAACTGGAATTTGACTGCGGGACTTGGGTTTGACTAGTCTAAAGAAAAGAAGAAATAGGGGAGACATGATAGCAGTGTTCCAGTATTTGAGGGGCTACCACAAGGCAGAGGGAGTCAGGTTGTTCACCAGAGCACCAGAGGGAAGGACTAGAAACAATGGTTGGAAACTGATCAAGGAGAGAAGCAACTTGGAATTAAGGAGAAACTTCCTGACAGCGAGGACAATCAACCAGTGGAACAGCTTGCCTCCAGAAATCGTGGGCGCTCCATCACTGGAGGTTTTAAAGAAAATATTAGACAATCACCTGTCCGAGATGGTGTAGGCTCTCCTGCTTGAGCAGGGGGCTGGACTAGATGACCTCCAGGGTCCCTTCCAGTTCTATTCCTATTCCTATTCCTATTCTACACCACTCCACTCCACTCCATTCCATTATTATTCTATTCTATTCTATTCTATTCTATTCTATTCTATTCTATTCTATTCTATTCTATTCTATTCCATTCCATTCCATTCCATTCCATTCCATTCCAATCCATTATAATTCTACTCTACTCTACTCTACTCTATTCTATTTTAACTCTTGGGAACAAGCATTGGAAGATGTCTACTTACTAAGTCTGGAGAATGGAAAATTAAGAGGAGACATGATTATGGTTTCAGACATCAGGCCACTGGCTGGAGAAGAAGGAGACTGTCAACCAAAAGGACACAGGATGATCTTTTTCATAAGGAGCAAATTTAACGCAAACATTTAAGAGAAACCTCCTCCCAATAAGAGTTTTAGCACTGTTAAGCTAGGACAAAGAAGATGGAAGATCTCATTCTGAAGAACAGGTAGTCCTCGACTTACGATCACAACTGAGCCAAAAAATCTCTGTTGCTAAGTGAAACAGTTATTAAGTGAGTTTTGCCCCATTTTACGGACCTTTCTCGCCACAGTCGCTAAGCGAATCCCCGCAACTGGGAAGTTAGTGACGCAGTTGTAAAGTGAATCTGGCTTCCCTATTGACTTCGCTTGTCAGAAGGTCACAAAAGGGGAATCGCATGACACCCCCCCCCCGGACACTGCAACCGTGATAAATGTGAGCCAGCTGTCAAGTGTCCAAATTTAGATCATGTGACCGTGGGGATGCGGTCATAGGTGTGAAAAATGGTCATAAGTCACTTTTTTCCGGGCCGTCGTAACTTTGAACGGTCACTAAACAAATGGTTGTAAGTCAAGGACTACTTGGAGAAGTTCAAGGATGTCTCTGATGTTGCCAGGGTAAAAAAAAAAAACCTTACACAATGCTTAGGAGTAGAAGAAAATATTGTGATTTTTTTCTCTCTCAATTTTTCTCTCGATATTGTTCAAGCATCTGCTATTGAATAGGCAGTTTGCTCCTTGAGTGCCAGAATTTAAATAAGCATTAATTTTTGCCAAGTTTCTCAGAATGTAGGTGAAACAAATTAATGTTAAAAAGATTGCCATTTCTGGGCCAGCTTCTTCAAACATCTTGGGGAAACTGAAGAGCACTAAGAAATGGCCCTGGAGCTACCCAAAAGAATTTGGAATTGTTCACTGTTGTCCCCTCCAACTGCTGAAGCCCCATCAGAAGTTTAAAAAACAGGGAAGACAATGGTGACCTGTCCTGAGTTCATCACAACCAAGTGTGGAGTAACTATTTCAATG